TCAGTTTAGCATCTGACTCTTGATTTTGACTCAGGTCATCATCTGAGGGTCATGAGATCAAACCCTCTGAGAGGCTCCACACTTAGTGGAGAGTCTGCTTGAAGTTCTATCTCTCTCTTTGTCCCTCTCACCCTCCCCCCCTAATTCTCTCTAAAATAAATAAATAAACCTAAAGAAAAAAAATGTCTTGAATGTACCAGTTATACAAAATGCTTGACACCAAAACCTATCCAGAAAAGTTCCTGAAATTCAGAATGAGGAAAGAGCTTTATGGACATCCAGGTATAAAATCCAGTCATTTAGGAACAAGGGAAGTCAGGCTGGACTCAGACTTAACCATGGTAATGTTAAATGTGATCAAAGAATGTAAAAATATCTATAGTCCTTAATGAAATCAATACTAATTAATTTGATACCCAGCCAAGTTGTCTTTCAATTGTAAAGACAACAAACAAATATCCTTAACCATGAATCAAAACAGAAAATTTATGGAGTAAACTTGGGGGAAGTGAGAGAAAGTATGTTAATTTCATTATTCTTTGTAGGACAGAATCAACAGATCACTTTTAAATTGAAAAAATTCTTGGGGTGTCCGGGTGGCACAAATGGTTAAGCATCTGCCTTCAGCTCAGGTCATGATCCTAGGGCCCTAGGATTGAGCACTGCATTGGGTTCCCTGCTCAGCGAGGAGTCTACTTATCCCTCTGCCCTTCACTTCACTCATGCTCTTTCTCTCTCTCTCTCTCAAATAATAAATAAATAAATAAACAAATAAATAAATAAATAAATAAATAAATAACTTTAAAAAATAAATAAATTGAAATACTTCTCTTCTGAGGAAGGACTTTCTGGAGGTATGAATCTGATATTTCACAGACAATAACCCCTAGCATTATAGGTTTAGCCAACTACAGATACGCTGTAGTCTATTCATAAAAGAGTCTGATTTTAAGAAAGAAAATCACTCAAAACATTACTTCTGTGAGAAATTAACATTGTGAGTGATGGCATCTGTCTTTCACACAAATATCTCAAAGATTTCTACTTGTTAAATAAAGATTTTGATTTACTGGTTTTAAGATCTTTGTGATGATCATCTTATTTGTTCTGAAGTCCATCTCCACAAGTTATGGATTCCATCAAGCTAAAAATTGCAAAATATAAGGACACTGCTTAAAGTAATTATTCGTCTTCACCAACAGAAGTAGTGCACTACTGCAGGAGAGTGAAGCAAATAATCTGAGTTTACCTATAATAATACATTCTTGGTATGGAACCTTAAAAAACAAATCTATTTAGAGATAGACATCATTGATTATCCTTTGCTTGGGACTGGGAAGCTCTACATACACACATGCTCTATAATCCCTTACAATGAACTTTTTTTATAAGACAAAAATGAGAGAGAGAAAGAGAGAGATATAGATAGATAGAGAGAGAGAGAGAGAGAGAGAGAGAGAGAGAACAATTGCTTCCTAAAATGCTTTTGGAAGTACCAAGTGAACAGAGAGATATCTAACAGAGAGTGAGTAGTCACAACAGAATACATGTTGTTCAGGTCTGTATCTTATTTTTCTCAGTGTATAATTTAGCAAATCTTACCCCTCAGATTTTCCCTAGCCTGACAACCTTTCTTTCCCTTGTCTTATTCTGACGATGTTCAGAACAAAAGATTTAGAACCACAGATCCTTAGTTAAAATGAACTGTTTACTATGTTGCCAATTTTGCAAAAGTCTCCTCTCAGAAACTCAGAGCTTTCATCTTTGAATAAGAAATAATTATAATGCTCAGCTCAGAGAATTAAATAATAATGTGTCAAAGTGCTTTATAAATGTTATGACAATATAATAATAGTAATAGTAGAGGTGGTGGTAATCAGATTCTAGATTCCAACAGCCCTGGATTTGCATCCCAGCTTTGCCATGTATTTGCTATGTACATTTAGTTCATTAATTTCAGCCTGAGTTTTGTCATATAAACATTGGGGGGGATTATTTCTAGTCATATGGATGTACAATGTACATGATACATTGTATATAAATAATTCAGTATAATGTCTACACTGTACTAAATATACTGTAAGTAAATGTTAGCTATTATGTTGTTGTTATTAGTTATAATTTATTGAATACTTGTGATATACTAAGTATTTACAAATGTTGATGTTAATCAATCCTCATAATAATATGGTCAGGAGACACTGTCATACACAGTTAATAAATGAAGTAGCAGAGGATAAAAGTAAAAGTAAAAAAAAGTATAAAAAATAAAACAGCTAGAAAATGATGGTACTAGGATTTGAATCTATATCTGACTCTAAAGCTCAAGTGTTTTGAAATCAATAAAAATATAAAATACGTTTATTAAATGTTAATGTTATACATCATATGTATTTATAATAATGATTTAAATGATCACATTTATAATATGTAAAGACCAGAAGAAAGGTACTTTCATGACTTTGTCATGTAGTTTAAGTGTAACTGAGAATTTGAGGAGGTTTCATGTGCTCTTCCAAATTTACATAAATACATCATGATACAACAACAAATAGAATATTTTGACAATTTTTCTCTAGTATTTTTATTATATTACTTGTTTCACCTTCGTAAAAGTTTTAAGTGATAGCAATGTCATTTGGTTTACAGAAACATACTCTGGTCTCCTTTTTTCCAGTTATTTTCATGTAATGTTTTATTATTTTTAACTTGAAAAGAACCTCAGCTAGATTATCTAGGACTCAAAGAAAATATTTATTAGTGTTCACTCGTGGTGAGTGCTCAGTTTTTTGGATGAATGTTTGGAGTTCCATTAACACTTTTGTTTTTCTTTGCCCAAAAAGGAATAGATATATAACATATTTAAAGAAAACAAATAACTATTCTGAACCCATTATTCTAAATATGGAGGTATTTATCTTTTTCAGTAATACTTTTTAAAGCTTGAGTTTCCTGGGGCATTCATTCTTATATTTCTTTCATAATATTTTCTTGTGGTTATCCACAAAGAATATGAATCTGCAACTGTTTAGTAGAGGCATTGAAAATATGTCTTTCCTAAAATCTTCCCTCTTCGTTTTTCTAAGCAGTGGTTATAAATGAGGACAGTTTTGACCCAGGGGACATTTAAAAATCTCTGGAGACATATTTAATTATATACATTGGGAAGGTGTGCTGCTGACATCTACTCTAGTAGGGGCCACGGATGGCTATAAATATTTTACAGTGTACAGGGCAGTCCTCACTGCAAAGAAAATCGCAAAATATATTGATGCCGGTTGAGAATCTTGATCTGTTACTATGTGACTAAATTCACAATTCAAGATGCTAAGGATCCTACATACACAAATAATTCTGTGAATTCTTGTACTACTACAAACTAATAAGACTAATATTCCCCAAGCATGGGCAGCCCCGGTGGCGCAGCGGTGTAGCGCCGCCTGCAGCCTGGGGTGTGATCCTGGGGACCCGGGATCGAGTCCCACGTCAGGCTTCCTGCCTGGAGCCTGCTTCTCCCTCTTCCTGTGTCTCTGCCTCTCTCTGTCTCTATGAATAAACAAAATTAAAAAAAAAAAAGTCAGACTTAAAAAAAAAACAACAAAAACTCCCCAAGCATATTTACTCATCATTTCTCCAGCAAAAACTATCCTAAAACTCTTCAAGCCCAAGCTGTCATCTGAGGCCAAATTATATTTCTACTTTCTATGAAATTTTCATTAGTTTAAAATTACCTTTATCATGGGATTTCTCTGAATATTAACTAATTAAAAGAGATAAAATCTAGTATCATATAGCAGATACTTAATAGATTTAAATGTTCTTCACTCTTGCCCTCATTTTTATACCTTTTCTTTTCTGGTCTGCTTTTTTTACATTGTTTACCTGCTGATGAATATCTAATTGCATGCATTTGTGATATTTTTATTCAGTTACTTGACTTTTTTTGAGGACATGTCTCATTTATTCTATGAGAATATATTTATTTGCATTACATAATTTATTCTTTATACTCTAGTATTAATAATACTTTCACAGCAGCGTGGCAGGACTGGGCGTGTGTTCGGGGGCTAGGGCCAGGGGGACAGCCCTCTTCCCTCTCTCTTGGGGTCCTCCCCTTTGCCAGGGGCACCTGCCCGCTTGCTTGGATGTGCTGGGAGTCTGCGTGACGTCCTGGCCTAATAAGCCGCTTGCACTTCCGAGGGCAGAGCCCCGGGTCCCCGGAGGGCCACGGAGAAGCCCTGGGCCATGGGCAGGGCAGGTTCACGGTGTCACTCAAAAAAAAAAAAAAGAAAAAGAAAAAGAAAAAGAAAAAAAAAGTCCTAATAGGACTAAATAGTGCTTGATTAAATGAGTGAAGAAATGAATGGAGAGAGGTTATATGAGGACCAATGTTTTCTTATCTGTAGTTCCCAAGTAGTAGCACAATATTAATTCATGACTTTTTGTTTGTGTATTGTTTCTAACATTTTAAAGTTTCAAAAACTTAGCTTTTTAAAAATGTTTTTGTTTAGCATTATTTTCTTTAGCTCTGCTTTTGATACAAAGATATGTATTTAAACATTACAACACAATGTTTGAGACTTTTTAAAATTATATATAGCATATTTTAAAAAGAAATCTTACTCCGGTATCCCGGGTGGCTCAGCAGTTTAGCGCCGCCTTCAGCCCAGGGCATGAACCTGGAGACCCGGGATCGAGTCCCACATCAGGTTCCCTGCATGGAGCCTGCTTCTCCCTCTGCCTGTGTCTCTGCCTCTCTCTCTCTCTCTCTCTCTCTCTCTCTCTCTCTGCCTCTCATAAATAAATAAATATTTTAAAAAATCTTAGTCAATTAGAAAAAATTCTAGTTAAGTCTCTAATTTACTAAAATAACATGACTTTCTTTTGGTAATATGCCCTTTGAGTACAAGAAAAAGCAAAAGTTTTAAATATGAAAATAATGGTGAAAAAGTCTCAGTATTTTTAGAATTTTTACAGTGTGTTCTTTTTGGTCCTTACAGAAAGTGTGGACTATGGACCAGTGTTTGTACAAGAACCAGACGATATAATTTTTCCGACTGATTCTGAAGAAAAGAAAGTAGCACTGAACTGTGAAGCTCATAGCAATCCAGTTCCCAATTACAGGTAGAAGTTCACTATTAATCATTTTTCTTAGGTCTTAAAATCTTCCTTCCATGAGATTCTGGTAGTCCCAGGGTGTATTATAATATCTCAAGTAATTTTTACATATTTGTCTTCTGATATTTCCTAAGATGGCTTCGGAATGGAACAGAAATAGATTTGGAAAGTGATTATCGCTACAGCTTGATAGATGGGACCTTCATTATAAGCAATCCAAGTGAAGCAAAGGATTCTGGTCATTACCAGTGTTTAGCAGTCAACACTCTTGGAAGTATTCTTAGTAGAGAAGCCATACTTCAATTTGCCTGTGAGTAAAGTATATGCTTTTCTTATGTATTTGTATATAGTGTGTATACATGTAATTTTAAAGTTTGCTAGGCAAAAGCTTAATTAAGACTTCAGAATTTAAAATAGTGGTAAAACCCTGGTAAAGATAAAATTATGTAAACAGTGTGTTTCTTTCTAAGATATTTTGAAACTCTCTGAAACATTTGCCCTCTTGAAATAAACCCAACACACTAGTCTGGGAGATTGAAAATACTATTCATGAATTCTTTCCTCTGCCTGTTTTTATTCTTCTACTGTTTATTATAGTCACTATTTACTATAGATTCTTTTGGATGGAAGATCACATAATCTAAAAATTCTGCTTAGGCAATCAAAGAAATGCCTCTGAAATGCTAATGTTTCAAATTCCAACTATAATTTCTCACTCAGATGGCTCAATTTTTGATTAGAAAAAAGACACCACTACATATAATCATATATATGTACTAGAGTATAGACATTTTCTAAGATACATCATTTATCTAATTAACAAGTGTATTGAGGTCTTAAAACTCATGAAATTATTTAACATATGATGAAGGCTTATACCAAATTGAGGATAGGCTACTGAGCAAAAAACAAAACAAAACAACTATCATTTCTTAGTAAATAATCGTACATGAATATAAATTCTTGAGGATTATAATATCTAAAAATAGCGGAGAAATCTTTGTGTTAATAATTTATATATAACTTATATTGGCTATGTAATTTATCACCAGGTGATTTTTAATTTAAAATTACGCCCTGAAGAATGGAATAATTGACTTTTATCTATATAATCTTCCTCACATATTACTTCTAATTAACCCAGAATCCAGATATCCTCTTATAGGAGTATGAAGGAGAAAAGTAAGAATAAAGGAATGATAATGGATTCAGTTTAGAAAACATTGAGCTAAGTCCTAGAAAAATTTATTAAATATTTTTTATTTATTTATTTTTATTTATTTATAACAATCACACAGATAGAGAGAGAGAGGCAGAGACACAGGCAGAGGGAGAAGCAGGCTCCATGCACCGGGAGCCCGACGTGGGACTCGATCCCGGGTCTCCAGGACCGCGCCCTGGGCCAAAGGCAGGCGCCAAACCGCTGCGCCACCCAGGGATCCCGAAAAATTTAAATATAATCTTTTAAAATAAATTTAGCTAAGGAGTTCAGATAGGACTTTACATACACCAAATATACCAAGATAGTAGCCGGAATATACTTTTTTTTAATATACTCTTATTTTAGAAAATATTATATGGTTTAACACAGCCTAATACTTTCCAGCATGCACATTAAAAGAGTAACCTGATAAACAAATAGTTCTTCTTAATTACTCCTCTGTAAATAATCTTTTCAAGACAGATACAGCAAATCCAGATGTGGATTCATACATGATGTATGAATACTGTATTCCTTTCTTTTTTTGTCTATACTGACACAAGTACACCAATTCATAAGAGCTTATATATCAATTGCTCTTCCCCAAATCAACAGTGGAGGCAAAATATGCAAAGTTTTCTGTGTGCTTCAGAGCAGAAATCTACTTACTGGAAAATCCAAGGTGTCTGGATGACTATGACATCCTAGAATTTCTGTGAAGACCAGTCATAGCTATCAGATACTCACCCCTACCTTCAGTGAGCACATCTGCACCACCATTTACAGTTCAATGAGCAGGCAAGAAAAGCCCTATCTATCTTAGTTATTCAGCATCAAGCTGTCCTGAACTTAGTTTAGAGCAATATTTGCTTTACTTTTAACTTAACATATGGGTTAATATACATATGCATTCATTGGTAGCATCTCATGACCCTACATTTCCCCATTCCCACCCCACCTGACTCAACTGTCTTCTGAAGACTGTATGTATACATCAGGGCTCATAATGTGCCTGGTTGAAGCAGTCACATACATAGGGAAGGCCACTTCTACCTCAAAATTACTCCTTCACCTACATGCCATTATATCCATCTGATAATATAAAAAATTAGATCCTTTAGCTTTAGCTCGATCTTTTTTTTTTTTCCAGAAGATCTTTGTAGGGAAAATACAAATATAGGTGGTAGAAAGGAGAATGAAGACACCATCAACTTGCTTTCTAGTATACCTGTATAGAAGCATGAATGTTATGGAATTCTAGGAGTCAAGGTACTTTGTGATTGGGGGAAAATTGAGGTAGGAACTTGGAAAGAAAAAAGAACCTTCTGAAAGGAGTGAAAGGATACATGGGTCAAATAAGATTAAAAACTTGGCGACAACTTTCCTTTACATCATGATTTTCTATGTCTGGCCTCATAGCTAGATAATGTATTCACTACTTATTGTTGATAGAATGTTTAATGTTTAAAGTGTTTTTACAAGTAAAGGAATGTTAATCACTCTTTACACATAAAGCTGGAATCATTAATCATTTATATCTATTACCAATTATTTATGTAAAAATTTAAATATACAACTAGCATGTTAAAAATAATATATTTAGTAAATTTAAATAATTACCAAAAACTATTTAATCAAGTTAAATATTCAAAACTAATACAGGAATCTGTTAAACATTTTAAATGTCATGAAATTAGGCAGAATTTACAAATTATGAAATTGATTACAAAACCTCTTATTAATACTTATAAGTAAACTCTGTCTTGTACTTATTCTTCAGGCACATTTTTATGCTTTACTCACTTTTAAATATTTTTATTATAGAAATACTTTTAACTTTTATACATCAATTTCATCATACATATATAACCCATAATTTCATCAGATATGTTTTCTACACTGTGTAGTGCTATTGTGATCTAAAATACTCCTTTCTAAGGAGCATCATATTACTCAATCTGGAGTTTGTTTCTGAATTATAGTTCAATTGAATTTTGGTTGCTTATTTAAAACGTGAGACCTGCTTAATAGATGTGGCCTCTTATAATTTGAACATTATTTTTGTTATATCAATGACACTTTCACATAGGCTTTACCTTTTGAAATATGACATATTTGCTTATAATGATGTGATTCTAAGACTTACTGAAGAGTGTTAAATAAATACCCCTAATTATATCCATAGAAAAAAATTCTAATCTATATTTTATAAATAGATACATATTTATTTAACCAAAGACTCAAGATATCCATATAGTAACAATCCTATATTCAATAAAGAAAATAAAATTTAAACATCCTATTAGCATCACTTTCCTTTTTGTTTGGAAATTACATATGTATATTATACACATATGCATAATATCAACCTTTCTGATTCTCCGTATTATTAGAATCATATGAGATTTTGCAGATTCAACTTATTTATATACATATACAAACTGTCACAATTTGGCTATTTGGACTCACTTAATGCTAGCTTCTTTGTCCTCTTATTAACCAGAAATATATATATATATATTTATTTATTATTTATATATTTATTTATATTTTATATTATATTATTATTATATTTATATATTATTTATTATAATAAATATAATATATAATATATAATAATAAATAATATATAATATTATAATATATAATATATAATATATAATTTATAATAATAATATAATATATTATAATATGATAATATAATTATGATATAATAATAAATAATATATAATATTTATTATAATAAATAATAATAAATTATTATTATATTTATATATTATTTATATATTTATTTATTTATTATAGATTTATTTATGTATATTTATTAATTATATATATATGTATTTATTTATTTTAGAGAGAGTGTATGATCCAGGGGAGGGGCAAAGGGACAGGGAAAGAAAGAATCCTCAGAAAGACTCCCTGCTGAGCACGGAGCCTGACACAGGGCTTGATCCTAAGACCTTAAGACCTGAGCTGAAATCAAGAGTCAGAAGCTCAACTAATAAGCCACCCAAAGTGCCCCTAACCAGAAATGCACTTTAAAATATTCTAGCTTTCCACTAATAATACTTTGATTCCATACCCACAGGCCAAGTCAATTATAATTTCAGCTAGTTTTCATTGACCATAATGAGTAATGTTATGGGAGACTAAAATCTATATGCTAGAGATACACATAGGACTGTTCCAAACAAGTTCTGATACTGAGTAAGAAGATATTATTACTAAACCAGTTTGGTAAAACAGACTCTTAAAAGAACATCTTTTTCTTATGGCCTCAAGTAACTCAAATTCATTGAACATTTTTCTGTAGCTCCAAGTGTTTTAGAATATATTAACTCATTTCATCCTCATAACCAACATAGGAATGGTTAGGTTATAAAACATAAAGCCAGGGGCGCCTGTGGCTAAACTGGTTATGCATCTGACTCAATTTCAGCTCAGGTCATGATCTCAGGATCCTGGGATGGAATCCTCCATCCAGCAAACCATCCCAGCAAGGCTTCTTGCTCAGTGGGGAGTCTGCTTATCTTCCTCTCCCTCTGTCCCTCCCTCTGCTTGCTCTCTTTCTCTCTCTCTCTCAAATAAATAAATAAAGTATAAATACATTTTAAATGAGATCGGGCACGGTCAGGGTGGTATGGCCATAGACTGTAAATCCATTTTATAGATGATACTTCTTATTTAACTCTAATGGCACTCAATCTTTATTCTAAGATAAATATGTATGGTATTCACTTTGAAAATATTTGATTTTCAATTTCTCTCTCAAACTCATATTGTAATTTCTCAAAAGTCTTTATATCTTGGCTTCATCAACCTCCATTTTATAATCACTTTATTAACAGCTATATGACATAACAAAGATAAATATTAGCAACAAAAATAAGTATATGATCATTCTGCATTTTTTCTCATTGTTTAAATTTAATTAATCAGTCACTTGCTTAATTTTTTTTTCTTACGGAAGTTTAAGAATTACTAGGTCTCTTTCTAGAACTGAAATTTTAGGATGTATACTAGTTTTTTATGTAATTATTTATTTTCATATTAGCTCTTTTGATTAACTTTTTTCCTCTTACTTATCTTTATTTAGTGGATAATCT